TACAGACGTGACGATGGTTCTACTCCCTGAATCACAGACGTGACGATGGTTCTACTCCCTGAATAGCAGACGTGACGATGGTTCTACTCCCTGAGTTACAGACGTGGCGATGGTTCCACTCCCTGAATTACAGACGTGCCAATGTTCCCAACCCCCTAATTACAGACGTGATGATGGTTCTACTCCCTGAGTTACAGACGTGGCGATGGTTCTACTCCCTGAATTACACACGTGACGATGGTTCTACTCCCTGAATTACACACGTGACGATGGTTCTACTTCCTGAGCTACATACGTGGCGATGGTTCTACTCCCTGAATTACAGACGTGGCGATGGTTCTACTCCCTGAATTACAGACGTGATGGTGATTCTGCTCCCTGAATTACAGACGTGACGATGGTTCTACTCACTGAATTACAGACGTGGCGATGGTTCTACTCCCTGAATTACACACGTGACGATGGTTCTACTTCCTGAGCTACATACGCGGCGATGGTTCTACTCCCTGAATTACAGACGTGACGATAGTTCTACTCCCTGAACTACAGACGTGACGATACATAGTTCTACTCCCTGAATTACAAACGTGACGATGGTTCTAATCCCTGAATTACAGACTTGACGATGGTTCTACTGCCTGAGTTACAGACGTGACGATTGTTCTACTCCCTGAATTACAGACGTGACGATGGTTCCACTCCCTGAATTACAGACGTGATGATGGTTCTACTCCCTGAATTACAGACTTGACGATTGTTCTACTCCCTGAATTACAGACGTGACAATGTTTCCACCCCCTGAATTACAGACGTGACAATAGTTCCACTCCCTGAATTACGGACGTGACGATGGTTCTAATCCCTGAATTACAGACGTGACGATGGTTCCACTCCCTTAATTACAGACGTGACGATGGTTCCACTCCCTTTATTACAGACGTGACGATGGTTCCACTCCCTGAATTACAGACGTGACGATGGTTCCACTCCCTGAATTACATATACCTGACCGTGATTTTACCAAATTAATAGCATGCACTAACATTGCTTTAATTACATACGTAACGGTAGTTTTACTCCCGCAATCACATAATTCTGTTATTTACTAAGCACCCCTTCTGAAACGAAATGTGTTAAAGTAGTTTTGATGTATAACGCTATTGCTCCACTCCATATGTTTCTATTATATTCCTACGCTTTTAACAGAGAATCCTCTCCGAAAACTGGTGTTTTTTAAGATATTTTACACGGATGGTTTTGACCAAGTATTTGTTTCAGTTGTTGTAATTCGTAAATGTTAAGATATTGAATATTCTCGTTGGTCATTCTCTTTATAAACATACTATCTCAATATTATATAAAATGTAATACTTAATAAAACATGCGTTTTACTTGGATATTTTCCAATCGGAGACTTGTTTTTCTGTCACACTTCCTTGAGATAACGGGGACCATTCCTATCGTCACGACAAACTGATACCGTTTCGCTGGCTACGCAATTTGTCTGAAATTCTTTTCGGATTTACGGGATTTAACTGCCAAATCGACACAGTTTAAAGCTGATACTAATGCTTTTGTTATTTTTTTTTTAAATGTGTTATGTATCATAGCTTAAATTCAAAGCGTCTGTCAGTCACTGTACCAGGCTTCGGGATTAGTCTTCGGAAAGTTCTTATGCGTTATCTATACATAGGACCGCGGTGGCCAAGTGGTTAAGGCGTCTGGCATTCTGCTACCACTAGCCCTCCACCACTGGGTCGCGGGTTCGAGACCTACTTGGGGTAGTCGCCAGGTACTGGCCGTATGTCGGTGTTTTTTCTCCAGGAACTCCGGTTTTCCTCCACCACCAAAACCTGGCACGTCCTTAAATACGATAGCTGTTGATAGGGCGTAAACCACAAACAAACAAAATCTACATAAACCCACAAATGCCTAGATTCAATTTCCATCATTTAACGATGAATATAATAATCTCCACAGTTAATCATTGTGGTAGATGTGTCACGTTACGTTCTATTAATGATGCATAAAACATGAGTATCAAAATCACGGTTAACTGAGCTTGGCTTTGTTGTCTCTTCGCACTGTTACATGTAATATATCACGACAAAAATAAAAAAAAAACCGATTCATTATGTGTGCAGCAAAACAAAATGATACTGGCAACACATCAACTATGCACGGTACAATCCTTGCAGGGATTCATTATGCACGGTGTGTGAATCGTAGTCCCGTTTTTATGTTACAAACTCATTAAGTCTGTTATTTGCCTTCAAGCAAAATGCCAATGATAATAAATAAGTTCAGATCAGAAGTAATACATGTAGCTACAACGCAGCAAATTCAACCAGGCCTTTGTTATATATCAAAATTCAACCAGCAGCCACAGAGCTGCACAAGGCTTAGAATACACTTACTGTACCTGGCACCACAAACGGATATCACTCTAAACCAATCAGTATAAGCCTTCAGATTGATTTAAAAAATGCTAATTCGTCCTAGTTCTGCACATCAAATATCAGTAAATGGTAAGTTCAACTAAAAACTGTCACACGAATGTTTTCCATAATATCTCCTAATTTCTCCGAATTACGTAGGAAAAGTATTCTGTTATGAGCAAATAATGAATAGTGAACACACCTATCTAACGATATTGAACAATTAAGCTTTGTTACCTAATTATCGAGTGTTTTTTAACATTATGAAATGTGCCACATTTCGGTTGTTATCACAAGGCTTCACTTCATACATGTGAGTTCTTCCATCGACGCGAATTAAGACAATAGACTACTATAAACGGAATAGGATTCATCAGTTTGGTGTGATTAATGAAAGCTAGGTTTGTTTTGAACATAAACAGGAATTGAAAACGTATTTGCGAGCTTTCGAAAACGTCGGCTTCCTTTGTCTAGCAACGAGTGTAAATGACCGGTGTTTCGACTATAAACCGCTGAAAGCAATTCACTAAGCCACAGTTTGCGAGAGGCGGAATTGGTAAACATGTTACATAACCTCCTGATTGCCTGCAGTATTGGGGTGATATTGGGTGAAATGTCTATATGATTTTTGACAGCTGACTTTACTGATTCGGCCCACTGTGGCTTAGTTAGTTGTTTTAAGTAGTTTAGAGTCGAGACATCGGTCATTTACACTCTTCGCTTGACATACGAAACTCGCGTTTTCAAAAGCTATGTTTAGCAAAATAAATTTTCGATTCCTGTTTGTGTTCAAAACAAACTTAACCTTTAAACATAGCTATATATTTAGACTGTGCTATATGTAGAATGGAGGTTGACCGAGTTCTCAAACGTCGGTTGTTCGCAATACAAAATAATAAACACTGAATATCGGATGTCCTGCGCTGATATCTTATAAGGTATAATAAAGATATTAGTCAAAACAGACAACTTTCAGGATAACGTCCCACCTATAAGGATCCCCGTACTTCTGTCAAAAACTGTAACTACGTAAGTGTTGGAAACTGTTTTTCCGGCTTGACTTCAGCTTTGATAAATTATTTCTGAGAAGAGAATCATATGCATCTACTTCATGTGTTGTTAGTATCATTGTTGTTGCTGTACATGTAATTACTGAATAAATATTGTTTAAACTAAGAAAACCATACCTTACGGGACTTTTAAGGGGAGATAACTGTATGAACGAAACCGATAGTGCAGCGAGACAAGAATTATTAAGAAATGTGTTAACTGACTTAATTAAGAAAAGGGTTGATGCAAGGAAAACACAATTGGTACAGAAAAAAATAATTTATATCAGGGCGAATATTTTGTAACACTAGAAATGTACAAATGCCTATCTGGCACTATAGACACAATTAACCAGTAACAAAGATTGTATATCTGAGACGTATAATTACAAAAGAAATGAATTACCAAGTTACCAAAATTGCATATCAAAGATGAAAACTATTAGTTCTACCATTGACGGATATCGCATTTCAAAGTTAAAAAACCCTAACACTGGCGAATATTAAAGCCAAACATTCTTTTTCTTCGTCCCCATTGGTCATATTACAATCACGCGGATGTCGGTTATTTGTGATATCGACTCGGTGTTAATATGTTTAGAAACAGGAGGTCAATATTCATTTCTGACGTCATTTTAATTGTAACGGCACACTGCTTTCTGCCAAATACATTAGTTCCTCCGTACAAATATTTATACGTTCTCCCTTGTTTAACTATTTAAACATTATTTAGAATCTACATGTAATACAACAATTTAATATTTCAATTATCCTCAACAAATGTCTAAAATGATCTCAACTTAGAAAAAAATTGACGAAACACGTGACAACACGAACGAGATTAAGAATGATATAAGGAATGAGTACACAGTTGTTTTTATAGATACATTCCTGTAGTGACGCTACGCTGGATTATACAATGTAACATCGTCACAGATGAGAATCAACAGTATTACGTCATCAACGACACCCCCTAAGACTTACAGATACTTCAAAGTCCAAACGTTGTACCCCTGTTATTTGAACGATAAAAACGCTTAGGGGAGTATTTTTTAAATTACTATTGATCTTTAGGGATAGCTCGAATGATAAGCATGATTTTTACTCGTGGCGAAAAGTTATTTTAATGCAACTTGACAGGAACGCCGCCTGTATCGTTACTCCTACAACTTTCATTCAGAACGTCGTCCTCCTAGATTCAGCCGCCTGTATCCTTGAAAAATATTTCCCGGTAAAAGTTGTTGAACTCAAAAGTAAGCTAGTCATGTTTTATTACTTTCAGCCACTCTTATTTATTGGAAGCTTATTTCTAACATGCTTTTGTAGAATGTATCGTAAAAAAAAATATTTTAACACTTTCTGATAGACGACAATAAGACAAAGTTACTATTCGGAGCAATCTGTTCCTATTTTCAAATCAGAGAGGTCTTACCTATAAATGTAGGACGAGTTTGTGATTTGCGTCAAACTAATTAGCATTTGTATACATTGATATTAATAAGAAATGTCTTACCTGTATATAAAGAACAAGTTTACACATGGCAAGCCCAAGGAGCCAAGACTGGGCTATATCCTGAACTAGGGTGAAGGGCAGGCAGACGACAATTACAAGGAAGTCTGCACATGCCAGATTCACCAAGAAATAGTTGGTGACGGTTCGCAGGTGTTTAGTTTTCCATACGGCATAACACACAATAAAGTTCCCGCCAAGTCCTACAGAGAAAACAACAATATAAAGTGCCACAAATACCCACTCATACATTTCCGGAAACACATATATCTGGATTTGTTTATGCCAATAATCCGGTGACCAGTCATCATACTCCGAACCTGTCCCATTGTTAGGGCCCACCTGAACAACAGTCAGGTTATCACCAGAGGTAGCCATCCCGAAGTTCGGAGATCTAAGGTCCCAGCCGGTCTGCTTAGCTATCCATGTTACCCGTTGTTTTGTAGGGTATCATACCGGTGACATATATTTCATTCAAAATTGTTAATTACTTGTCAAATACGAAAAGTTTATGTTTGGTACATATTTAATGTGGAGAATGAAATCCACTCCCCGCCCGATGTAGCGTAGTACGATTCTATTTGCTGAGGAGCCAGCTAGCGGGTCCGCTGTGTTTTCAGTACGCGTAAAGGCAGGGCCTCTCAGCAGGCGTAACACCGCGGAGCCATAAGCGTGCTCGGGTGTGATTGCTGCCGACATGATGGACAGCTATGCCATCTGTATCCGAGTATACAGTATGTAGACAGACAGATTTAGGGCCATATTACATATTATATGCTCTTCAGGAACAATGCCTGATGTCGGTAGCTCCCGGACGATTTTTTAATAATTTCATGCTTAAAATTGTTTAATGGTTCATTCACGAGACGCGTTTTTATAGTAAATCATTAATTTTCTTACATAATGAAAAGTGTACCATTGTATGATACGCGTTTGTGTAGTACATGTTTGAATGTACACAGTAAGTCATCAAAACGTACCTCTCGTGCTGATAGCGGCCGAGCGGTTATTAACATTGTATAAAGTTGCATTTGTACTGATCCATGAAAGGTCGAATACAAGGTTACATTGTATGATGCAACCGGCCTACATTTTAGATCTTGGTTACCAGATAACTGAATTTCTCCTGTTTTCGTGTATCAAGTATATTTTGCCTTTTCCATGATAAGTACATTTGTAATTACGTGTTACACATGTTGATATGCCTGAATCAAAGTTGGTAGAAGATATTTAAACCCTAATTAATGAAACTGAAGAATAACGTAGATGAACGATCCGTTCCAAAACACCAAAACTAAAGAAGTGTCATTCAGATTATCACAGAAACATACGAATGAATCAGTGGCAATGTATACACTCCTGTACAAGTACGGATGTCTTACTAGCCGTCACGTGTTTGTGGTTACAAGTGTTTCTATCTTGTAATTGGAAATTATTTATCTACATAATTCGACCAGGCATATAGTTGGCCTATGGGGTGAGTCTATTTCCGATCCCCATAAGTGACTCTTCAATGACTTTGACACGAGTTAGTTTCCTAATAATGTCCTAAAACATTGACTCGGACGTGAGTCTGTTACCGGTCCTAGTTGGCACCACCGCTAAGACCAAGGGCAGAGGCCTGATTTTCTGACGTAGCTCTGTTATCATGCCCCACTTGTCCCTTGACAAGAACTCTGACGTGAGTTTGTTTTCGCACCTTGATGGTCCCACCACTAGTACGTAAGACAAGGACCTAACACTTGTAACCTAAGGTAGGCCTGTTCTCATCCTCTGGTCCCTCTAGAAGACTCTGATAAAGGTCTGTTTCCGTCCCTCGTTGGTCCGTCCACAATTACGTTCGACAGGGGCCTGATAACGTCTGAGGTAAAGCCCGTTTCCTGACCCCTACTCCCTTCAGAAGGACTCTGATATAGGTATGTTTCCGTCCCCGTTTGTCCGTCCACAATTACCTTCAACAGGGGCCTGATAATGTCTGAGGTAAAGCCTGTTTCCGGACCCCCACTCCCTCCAGAAGGACTCTGATATAGGTATGTTTCCGTCCCTGTTGGTCCGTCCACAATTACCTTCGACAGGGGCCTGATACTGTAACGTCTGAGGTAAGGCATGTTTCCGGACCCCTACTCCCTCCAGAAGGACGCTGATATAGGTATGTTTCCGTCCCCGTTGGTCCGTCCACAATTTCGTTCGACAGGGGCCTAAACGCTTCTTGTGTAAACCTGTTTCCGAATCCCTACTCCCTACAGAAGGACTCTGATATAGGTATGTTTAGGGTAAACTGCTCCCGTCCCCATTAGTCCGTCCACACGGTCTAATAAAGGTCTATAGCTAATTACCGTTGACGCCGGTCTGGTCTTAGTCCTTGGTTGTCTCTCCACAAGGAATCTGACACGAGGCTGTTCCCAGGCCCCGCTGGTGCCTCCAAAACCACTTCGGACAGAGCCTGACCACCACGTACACAAGTCTGTTCCCAGTCCTCCACATGGATTCTAACTTGAGTATGTCCTGGGTCCGATGACCGCTCTGATAACACACACGGGCTTAGGACAGAGAACAGATCACATACAACTGTGTAGCAGATACACACGCGCCACTTTAACTGTGTTGTGATACACACTCCACAGCACTATTGGCTTGGTTAACACGGGCGTTAATGACCAATGTCATTATCAAAACAAACAGGTAATCTTTCACGCCAGTTTGTTTTTAGCATTCGTTGTGGATGTTCATCTTGTACTTTACTGGTGTTATGACAGGTGAAACGGATATGGGAATGGTAATTGTACATTCCGGCAAGTACATCTGTCAGAAGAATAAAAGCACGGATTGTGGTAACGAATTTAATATAAATATATACAGAGAGGAAGTATTTCGGACAGACAAACAGTGTTCATAACACAAACGTACACACATGATACTCACAAAACCATTTTTACAAGAAATACACAAAAGTGATAGACGTACAAGCAATGATAAATAATTATAGTACATGTAATATAAATATGATAGATTTAATAAGATGATAGTAATATAAATAAAGAGAAATATGAAGATATGATAGTTATATAAGTATGATAGCTTTACACACAATAAATTATTTGTACTGGTCTTCATTTAATACTATATACATTGTATATCAGAATACCGTTATTTTTTATGAGCGTTCGCATTCATGAAATTATGGTATTCAACCAAAAAAGCAACATATCTTTTCAAGTTTCTAAAGCGACGGAAATATTCCTTCACCAAAGAAATAGTAGAAATAAAAGTAATGGTGAGGTATGCGCAGTACGTCACGTTGACAACAAGCGACATTTTGAATAATTAGCTTACAATTTTGTTTTATCATTAGTGTACTTGGGTTAATATCATTAGTGTACTTGGGTTAATATCATTAGTGTACTTGGGTTAATATCATTAGTGTACTTGGGTTAATATCATTAGTGTACTTGGGTTAATATCATTAGTGTACTTGGGTTAATATCATTAGTGTACTTGGGTTAATATCATTAGTGTACTTGGGTTAATATCATTAGTGTACTTGGGTTAATATCATTAGTGTACTTGGGTTAATATCATTAGTGTACTTGGGTTAATATCATTAGTGTACTTGGGTTAACTACTTTGGTGTGTGAAGCAACAGAGAACCAAGATAACCTGTTATTCGCTTCATTTACATCTGGCCAGGAAATTTACAGCCAAATGTATGAACGCAATGACTAGAGAGAACACGCACCGGTCTCATTAGGCAATATCGAAAGTACTTACAACGTATACACATATACACAATGTTTCATTGAAGTCTGCATTGGTCAGTAAGAAAATATGTTGAACCTATTATGTCTATATGCAAAGTCCCGTTTTAGAAAAACATGTGTAATATCCATTTGGGTATATATCTATTTTTTTCGAGGTAACACAGCAGGGGTGTGGGTGTAGGTTAGGGCTGCTTCTAATGACCTCTCATACGAAATACACACATCCTTAATATGACCTTTATAGACTGTCACGACTGTAGTATGAATCTAGAGTAGTGTGACCTGGGTAAAATCTCGCCTGTTACACCTAGTAAGAATCAGCATGATTTGTATCACTGGTACGTACTACATGTAATGAAAAGTAATTAGATGATGTAATACCTTGCTAAAACTGCATCACGATGTAATACGACGTAGCACGTCTTCACTCCACCTTAGTTTGGTCAACTTGTACGCCAACGGTACGACGCCGTACGGGAATCACGATATGGGTGTTTATGAAGAGTCAAACCCTTATGCCGATCAACCAATTATAATAACGAAACAGTACATTGCAGATATACACGTTTGCACAAGATGTTCATATCGTTTTAGATCGTAACAGACAGGTCTCTTATACATGTCATGTAGAAAACCTGCGTCACAGCTCCGTCATATAATGGGATACACTGGTCAGGATACCGTCGAGTTTTGAACAAGGCAGGCACTTCTGGACGTATATATACATCTATAGGTCAAAGTGAAGTTTTGTAATAAAACGTTAGTATTTGCACACAATAAGCCTCTGTACTGTAACTTACGTTATCGTTGTTGTATACAGTTTCATTCAGTCATAACAGAGAATAGAAATCACCGAGTGGGAACGTTTCCGAGTTACAAAGTCGTTCACGGGAACGCCAGCTGGGTACGAGGTCACCTCAATGCAAATTCGACATAGAGTTTAAGATTGATGTGAATTGTAAAAACTGTCATCATATTGGTAATTTCTTAATAATAGAGCAGCTTCAGCAACATGTGTTTGTCTGATACAAAGGTATTCATTGGAATATTTCTCAATAACTCAATGAGTTTTTTGTTTTGCACGCCCTGTCATCTGAATCGGATTACAATTTGTTTCCTCTGATGGCTTTTCGTACAAGCAGCAGCAAAGAATACATAAGGTATTATCTACACAAGCACTATTTACAAACCGCTGGAAAGTGCACTCTACGGGATTATTTCAGTGCTATTGTGTAATGTGTGCAATAGTGGTCAAAATGAATCTCCACTACCGTCATCCGTTTTAAATATTTAAAATGGATTCTTTCACATAACATAACGACCTCATGACTCATCAATAAATGTGGTTTAATATGTAATTGTAACAGTAAAAAAAGTGATTAAATAAAGATTCGTTGTCCGTTGTTATATACAGATATGAAATTTCCATTACGTTTCGAATAGAAAAGATGGGATTATCTGAGAGAATTATGTGATAAACATTCTGGTCTTGTCAAGTACATTGAGAAATAAAATATGATGATAGGAATGATGACGAGAATGATGATGATGACGAGAATGATGATGATGACGAGAATGATGAATATGATGATGATGATGATGATGATGATGATGATGATGATGATGATGATGATGATGATGATGATGATGATGACGATTATGATGATGATGAAGAAGATGATGATGAAGATGATGATAATGATGATTATTATTTAATTGATGATAATGAATGATGCGATTTTGACGATGATTAGGTTGATATAATAATAATGATACTGTAATATTTACATTTATTTGCATGGCATTGTCACTATATAGCCTCTTTGAAAGCTGTGTCGTTGATGGGACTTTAATTACCATGCCGCACGAGACACAATTCTTAGCGTATTAATTACAACACTGACCGGAACTATAATATCCAATGTAAATAAACATGATTCTATTGATAAACTTGAAACACCCTA